ACTTAATAGGTAGCCAGTGCAGAGACTGTAAAATCGGGGTAATATGATCATGTTTTCTTGACCTGGCAAGGACTCTATAGCCGCTGCATTTAGTGCTTATACAACACTTATACAAACACATTTATAATACACAAAAGTATAACCCATTTATAAAATATGGAATAAATGGTCTAACAACTGAACTATACACTTTCTTGCAAACAGACATTAAAACTGTTTAACAGAAAAGAAACTGTTTAAAGGAAAACTGCAACAAGCCTTAACAAAATCATCTGTTTATTTCAGAATTTTAATTACAGTGGAATCTTTGGAAATTAATGTTAACACAAGTAAAAACCAAAATAAAAGATAAAACCAAAAAAGAAAAAAGCAATGAAAAAAAGAAGACTGCTTCGGAGTGATTCAGTCAGATACGTTTCCCTCTTCATCATCATCCTGAAAAAATAAGGCCGTGGGAAGCATGTAGGAATACGTTCTGGCGTCACAGTTGTTTTTGGAATTGAAGCCGCCTGTGACCCTCTTGTAACCTGCAAGTTTGAGAACATTTAAATGATGTACATGTACATGATGTACAGATTTCCATCAGTGTTGTTAACTAATACTATTAAAAATCTTGTTTTGTTAATTGAAATAAAGCTGAAATAAGATGCAATATAAATATTACACTAAAAATCCTAAATCTGTAGTATTAAAATGACAAAAATCAGAACTGAAATAAACATAAGTAAAAGCTAAAAAGAAAAAAAAAATTGTAAAAAAAAATGAAAAAATAAAAAGCGCAAAAATGACAAACTAAAACGTAAACTGAAAATATAAAAATAAAAGCAGTTTTATTCAAACTATTGTTAAGTAACAAAATGTTTTTGGTTTTAATGTTTTATGGTTTAATTGTAGTTTTAATTACCTATAATAGCCCCCACTATAATAAAATACAATATTTGATTATAAAATACATAAGTAATTGAGCATCAGGTTAAAATATTCACCTTATCTGTTCGTGCACACCGCTGGAAAGACATCTTCTTCATGTCATCTCCATGGCCCTCTGGAATACATCCGGCTCTCACAAGAGCAGTGACCAGTTCATCCTCAATGGTTCTGAACTGAGAGTTCTTTGCATTTCTCTGGATGCACAGGACAAGTATTAACGCTTGGACAGCACAGCAATATATAAATCACTATGCTGCATCATCATAACTCACCTGCATCCCATAATACCCTTTGCCTGAATATGCCATCAGCAGGGCCACCTTTTTCTTGGAGTATTTCCTTTCATCCTGGTCTGTTTTAAGCTTCTTGTCTTCATACTCAGTTTCAGTGTGCGTGTCATCTGCTGGTCTCTTCAAAGCTTTGATTTGGGCGTCTGATGAATCCTCAGTCATCTTGCTGGACATGCAAAATCCACGGAACTTTAATTTAGGACCCGGACACCCTGAAGAGCGTTTCAGTTAGCGGTGAATCAGTTACTTTGCAGCAAAACGCATTGTTAAGAAACTCACCTTTGTTTTTGAGCGCTGGAATAAATGTGCGACTTGATAAAATATGAATGATCCGACAGCACCTCAGCAGCATGTCACCACACTCTTCAGTGAGGATCTCAGCAACGTCTTTTGAACAAAACCGACTCGACTGCTTTTACGCTAACGGCCATTTTCTACAATAAGTGAAATGAATTTAGAAAACGAATTTTGCATGCATTTATGACAGCAGTATAATCTATCTTCACCGCAACAACTTATTTACTTCCCGCTGTACCATGCAGACACCCACGTGGAGTTGCTGAACTTTCACATCTCGCCGAATATCGCGTGACCTAAAACAGGTTGCCAGGTTTTCAAAACAAACGTAGTTTACTAAAAAGGGGGCCATGTTTTTACAATCTGCCTCAGTTGTAGTATAATTGAGATACTCCTACTATTAGTTTCTATTAATATTTTGAATCTGAAATATTTTGAGTATTTTCATATTTAACAGTTTCATTTTACTTAGGGTTCTAGTAATTTTGTTGTGTTTTGTCACTTTTATGTCTGTAGTTCGCATTCATTTTTATTTCATTTAGTTTTAGTTATGAACGCATTTTTTATGGTTTTAATTTTAGTTTCATTTTTATTTGACTATAATAACCCTGATTTACAGTTAATCATGTTTACATATAAATTTTAATGAATATAATTAAAAAAATATAATTATATTCATTTAAAATATACAATTTAATATAAACATTCATAACATACTTCTAAATGAAAAATATAATTGTAAAATTCTTGTATAAACTGTTATTTTTTTAATATTTCACTAATTATTTAAAATATTTATCAGACTACAGCTCACAAAAAACAACCTCAAAGGGAGTAAAAAAAAAAAGAGACAATTTATTTCAGTTTTTCTCTTTTATTGGTGCTGTACTGTTTAAAGCAAAAAGTTACATATTATATAGACACGAAAGAGTGTGTACAGATCTTTTTACAGAACAAACAACTGTAAATGTTTATCAACAGTCACAATTGGGAACGTTCATATCTTTGGTGGGGACAGGGTGACAGAAAGCAAATCTCCATGCGTTTGTTAAATATACAAGTTTTAAAGCGATAATTTACAATCCAGATTTACACCTGATACCGAGAGATCAAGGTCAAACAGATGCATGTCTTTATTACTGGAGAACAAAACCAGGACGTCAGACATCAGTGTAGTGATGCAGAACGGCTGAGCTCACTTATTGCAAGCTTTAGTGTCTGTACATTAATGACAAAGTGATGCTTAAATCAGCTGACCAAACACTTCATGCGGTACATAGCGATTAAAAGTGTCACGATACACCCAATGGCCATTTAGGTGGCGACTGAGTTGATGGATTAAACACAATTTTTATTTTATGCCATTTAAAAAGCACAACAAATATATTTAATGCAGCATAATCCTCAAATTTTCAGACAGAGAAAATAGAAAATAAAAAAGCTATTACTCTTTTAACAAAGTTGTTAAAATTGCAATTTAACTGGTATGTATAAGAGGGGAAAATGCATGTTACTATGGCCTTTGGAACTCAAAACAGAAATAATAGCTTATGTCTCACTATCATGACACCGCACTCCAGTTTATTCAAAGAAAACTAGTATGTATGATATTTAAACACACACAAACACATTCACACACACATAAAAGTGAAGCAAAACTAAATCAATCCCACTGCATCTCAACCCAGTCAAATTCAACCAATCGAAACACAACTCACTCCACACTGACAATGTACAAAAATAAGTAATAAGTAAAAGAAAGAAAAAAAAAAAGGGATAATATTTTTTCAGTGTTTCAGTTTTTGCTTTTTTTCTTTAAAGGCACATTTTTAAAATGTTTTAAATATTTTTTAACACAAACACGCTGTTCATATACAACACAATCGAAATAAGGCTAAAAAGCACTGACTATATTACTCTACAAGGAAAGTAAGGAAATGTGGTGTTCACACTAAATGGTCCGCTTGATTTGGAATGTCTTCTGCTTACCTAACCAAAGAGTCCTCAAACAGTGCAAGCTAGAATTGACTACTATCTTAAGACCTGTCCTTTATATACCTGCTTCAGATTATACACAGCTCACATCAACAACAGGAACAACTATGCATGCACAACCCAAAAGGAAGTACATCTGTCCTCAGAACAAACACTAAAAATGGGCATTAAAGTCTCAGTTTAATCTAGATGGAAATCAGGAAGAGGACCGATCATCAGGGCACACATATGATTCGGTATAATCAAGAGTTTCTTATAAATTCAGCCGTTTTTGATGCCAACGCCAACCTAATATTGAGCGGGCTGACATTAATAACGCCTTTATCTAATCTAGAAAATGCACTAAAGATTTTTTGGCATAATATTTAGACCAAATAACAGCTGAAATCCTCTGTAATGGCGCAGGACATTTATGTCTTGCCCTAATGCGACAAACTTAAAAAAGCCAAACTACATTCAGACAAATGATTGCCAAACACAATAATAGCTATTAAAAAAAGAAGAAACTGAACAGGCCATAAGAGATGTCCAAACACCACACACAATATTCATTTCCTAGACATTTTAAGGAGGAAACATTTGACATGCTCTTACTTGGTAAACATTCACTAAAGTGCTACAAATGATTTTGCTGGCTTTATACAGTTTCCTTCTGAGGAACAATGAGAATGTCTATTAAGTAATTGGCAAAACTATTTCTTTTTCGAATGGCTTGTAATTTGGTCATTGAATTTCTGATTAAACTCCCCAGTGAGGGAGTATTTGGGCCTCTTATAACATTCAAATGGTGCACAGATCGCATTTACCGGTCTGCAACATTCATCCAAAGACTGTATCTACGTCTAACTGGACATTTGGAATTAAACCAACCAACCAAACAAAATGACTTTAACTTCAATCACACAAAGCACCCCCAAATGCACTATTAAATCACTTATAATCATCTTAAAAGTGTTCTATAACGTCTCTCTGCTAGTTAACGTAGTGAATAGGCAGATCACTGACTACAAACTAAGAAAAATATAAGAAACTGATGTTCTGGGATGGATAAACCTCGTCTAAGATTGCACAACCCATTTATAACACGCAACCATTCCTATGTGAGCCAACAAGTGCACTGAGAAACATGTTTGTACTACACTTTAAACTCGGTGAGAGAATAATTGTGGAAACAGGTTTCATCTTGACAACTGACACAGGTGTTATTCTGTCCTTCTGTGTTTGCGATGATGTAAAGTGGCAACACATCCAAATCTTTGCATCTCTCCACCATTACGACATCAGCTGTCAATCAGGTTAACGTGGTCCAATCAGAGGGCCGTTCCCTCCCCCACAGCACTGGAGAAACAGGAATCTTGATGGTGTAACAGCTGCGTGGTGGAGAGATTTTACACACAGAGACCCGACTGTAAGGCGTTGAGACGGCGTTCGATGCATTGCTTACCTATAGAGAAATATCATCCTGGTTATGCAAATGATCTTAAAATGACATCTTAAGTGTTAAAACGTACTGAAGTCTATTGTATTACTCACACTTGCTAACGCTGAGGATGTCAGCCTGATCTGTGAGGAGGAGAGACAGACCCTCCATGAGCAGCAAGGCCTTATGGTAGCGCTGAACTGATGCTTCCCCTTGATGAAACATCTCATCTAGAGCAGCCGTCTGCACCTGTAAGACCAGACCACTTCATAAATACACTTGAGCAACTGTTAAAAGCTCAAATTCACAATAGAAAAGAGCCTGGACGTCATAGTTTCCTAACGTTTTTCTTACCATCTGTACAGTGTGGCTGAAAAGGAGCCTCTCTGCGGTGATGCTGTTGATGTGGTCCATGAGTTTGTGTTTACGGGAGAAGAATCGCTCCAGCTGAGCGCTCAGAGAACGGCAGGACATTACGCTGGACTTATACAGGTCATTCAGCCTCCTCACCACTGAAAGAAAAAAAAATCAAGGTGAAAACCTCCTCAGTTCCACTGTATGGACATTTTTACTGACTTGCATGCAAACTACAGTTGGTCTCAAGTATTTGTACATTGGACACTGCATCTCTAATATATTTTAGTTCCATAAAACACCGTGGGTCAGTCTATCTACACCAGGTTTTCCCAAACTGTAGGTTAATAATTAAATAAATAATAATAATAATGAAAAAATGTAAATAAATAATGTAACAATTCAAACAAAACAAATAAAAAATGTATGTTTCATTTGTTTATCTGCATGCCATGCGAATACTGTATAAACTGACATCCGGCAACAAAATTATTGAAATATTAGCTAAAAACCTCAAGCTGACAAAAAAGTTTGGGAATCCTTTCTCTACACCCTCTAATGACTATATGCACATTTAAATATTTTTCAATAAACATTTATTGCTTTACCTAAATTTCACATTTTAAATGTATTATATTCAGGGGTGCACATACGTTTTTCAGCCTGGCTCTCATGAGAGCAGCGAGAGATTTGGTTTGATCCCTATACTGCACTTAGTGTGACCCATTAAATATCAATTAAAAAAACATTAATAATAGTGATAGTATTATTATACTTGATTTATTTATTTTTTAAATAAAATAATAAAGTGTGATAATATGATTACATTTTAAAATAAAAATGGTGTATTAAATAAAAATACAATTATTTTTATAGAAAACTTAAAAATTATATGTTGATACTTACTTTATGAATTTTCATCATTTTCAACCTTTGTAACAAATGTAAAAGAGGTGCTCTACCAACAGAAGAGGAGGTGCAACCAAAAATAAAAAAACTTGAGCTGAACAAAGGTGCAACACTCACTCTTCAAAGTTCAAGCTTTATTAATAAAATAACATGACGTTTCGGCCGTCCAAGGCCTTCATCAGATAACAAGAGTGACAATCTCTCACAGTTATGTGCAGTCTGATAATCACCAACAGGTGTGCAACGCCACTAATTGTACTGATTGAGAAGTAGTTTCCTTATAGGATTAGGGAGAGAAAAAAGAAAAATACAAGTTCAAGATCTAACTTTAAAGAAAATATAAAATATGATTATAGTTTATTTTGAGAAAAGTACTTTTCTTTATATGGATACTTATGCTAAGCTTGTATCTTTAGATTTTTTTTTTTTGGACAATTGATTTGAAGCTTGTTTCATTGAGCCTTTATATATTTTCTTTAAAGTTAGATCTTGAACTTGTATTTTTCTTTTTTTCTCTCCCTACTTTGAAGAGTGAGTGTTGCACCTTTGTTCAGCTCACATAATTTTCAACCTTAAAATCAGCAATCTTATACAGCATTACAGTTTGTCGATCTAAAATGGTAATTGTGCATTAACAGCTATCAACCATGTTTGTACGCAAATGAGCGTATTTATTTACTTATTTACACAGCACATTTTTTATTTTGGTCACGTATGCGCACCTGCGGACCACTTATGTGCACCCCTGATTACATTGTACTTGTATTCAATGACTTGTCAAGATTTTTATATTTCACCGCCCCTTAATTTAGTTACGTCATTTGCAATGCTTCGGGGATGAGGAATCATATAAAAAAAAAAATAATAATAATAAAAAAATAATTATATATATATATATATATATGAAATATTTATGTATTAGATTTATTCTATTATTATAAAATCATTACTATATTATAGATATTTATAATTATTTTATACAAGTGCTTTGAAACATTTTAAAATTAATTTTTTTATGCGTATTGAGAAAATGGATGGTAACTATGCTTCAAAAGTGGATGTCACTGTTGTGCTTTACTATTGTGGTGAGAAGAAAGTGTGTCTGAACTGCTGACCTTGTTTGACGGTGGTTGAGGGGTAGAGTTTTCCCTGCTTGATGCCTTCCATGGCTGTTTGTAGTGAAGATGACAGAAGCTCTGTAATCTTCATGTAAAGCACCAACTGCTCAGCATAACTGTAAAATAAATGCACACGCATTTAATGCCACTCTAGACTATAGATCTAAAATCTTAATTTCTGTTTTAATGGTTTTTGAAGTTACTGGTTATTATACAACACTAGTGACACTGTCCTTCTGCTGTCAACATGTATAAAACAAACATCAACTGTGATCCATTGCTAGAGAGATCTCCTCACCTCCACTCTCGGCTCAGAGAGCTGACCTGATCGGCAACCAAACTCTGCTGCTGGAGCAGGCTGGTGGAAGAGAGGTCGGCCTGGGCATCCTCTCCACCCCGGGCCCCTGCCACCTCCACCATACAGCGAGTAAAGTTCAGCATGAACCGGAGCCTGCGCAGAGTCTCCGTGTGTTCTTGCTGCGGTGGAGAGAGAAGTGTGGCGTTAAACGTAAACTTGCTAACATGATCCTATCAAAAAGTAATGCAGTAATTTGGTGCTTACCTCCATTAGGGTCTCCTCTGGTAGTTCAGGTGCTTCAAAAGTCACGGCTGAGATGGGGTCAGTGAACCCATAGCGGGGACTTGAGGGCCCCTCGTAGCCATCCATGCAAATGCCTGTTTGTGGGTAGCGGCTGTTGAGGGACCCTACAGGACTAATGGAGCTTGAAGAGCCTGCTGTGAGACATTGAGGGGTTTGGGTCAGCATTACCCTGAAGGATCCATGTTAAATCTAAATAGAGTCAAAACTAGAGGGGGAAAAATAACTCACCTGAGAACTTCCTTGAGCGAGAACTCTGAGGAGGTGTTCCTCCACTGGGAGGAGAACCCACGGTGAACACCACTCGAGCAGGGCTACCTGAGCCCACGACGAAACCTCCACCACCAGGTGGCACTGTGAGTGGAAAAACAGGAGTGTGTAGCATTAAAACTGTATATAGACTGGAGTTACGGCTGACAAAAATTCAGCTTTGTAATTTATTTCTGTGATCACATTCTAAAATACAGTGCACAGCATAAATGAGTACACCCCCTCTAAAACTTAACAAATTCAGCAATTACTCTTTACTTAGAAGACATGTTAGGGTTCTTTGGAGATCTAATGTTCCAACAAGCCTGCTTGATCAATTACCAAAGAAGAATGCCAAAATTATTCAACAAAGATTTTCTTATCAAAGTGATAACATTTTGTGTTGCAAAAATGAGTACACCCTCCTGAAAGTTACAAAAAAAAAAAAAAAAAAAAGGGAATAGGTTAAAGGCTATTTTTGATAAACAGGAAAGA